TCCCTGCTCAGCGGGAAGCCTGCTTCTCCCTCTCCCACTCCCCCTGCTTGTGTTCCCTCTCTTGCTGCGTCTCTCTCTGTCAAATAAATAAAATTAAAAAAAAGTGCCCACTGATGTAAGCTGGCTCTTTCTGGGCTTTTTAACTGTCTGCACGTTCATCAGCTACAGTCCTTCGGATGGCAGAGAGCCGAAGCAGTCACAAAGAGAAAGCAAAATAATAATAATGCCTACTTTCTGTCTCTATCCGTGAAACATGAATTGAGTACCTACTAAGTTCAGGGCAAAATATCAGATCCCTGGCTTCAGGGCACAATTCCTGTCCTTACAGAGTTCAATTTAACTGGGAAGACAAGTTAAAAATCTTAGAGCAGTGGTCTTCAAATAATCAGTGCACATCAGTATCATCTGAGAAAATTTCTTAGAAATGCAGATTCCTGAGTCCCAAATCCAGAGATTCTGATAGAGCTTATTTAGGACAGGCCAGGAATGTGAGTTTTTAACCCAGGTAATTCTGACACCGATGATCCCTGACCATAGTCTGAGAAACGCTGCCCCTGCTATAGAATGGGGAAGAGTAGGCGCAGCCATCGTAGGCCGACGTCGTGTGCAGACTGCTGCCAGAGGTCACCTTCACCTGGATGAGCCAGGGTGGGGGCCTGTGGGCCAGAGGACCCAGCCCAGTGCTGGAACCTGGCTTTGCGGTATAGGGATAGGCCTTACCAGGTGCCCACAGACCACTTAAAGTAGGGTTTTCTGCAAGTCTGAATCTGAAACCTCTCCTTATTGGCCATTTATCTTAACTGACAAGTGTATAGGACCAGTTTGTTCTTTTGCCTGATTCTGTGGCTATGACATCACTCATCTCATCTTTAGAGTTTTCCTTTTTAAGAATCCTTGCTGAGCTTCTAAAGTTGTAGGAGTCTCCAAGTGGATTAGGCCTAGGCCATTGGTGTCTCCCAGTCAGTTTTCTGTGGCTGAGGTCTTTTGTGAGACAGAGGGGAAGAGAGTATTCATGGTGGGTGGTACAACTTGAGGAAAGTTAGCAAGAGGAGAAAACGCATTGGTGTATTTGGGAAATAGCGAGTACCCTGTCGTTGTATATACGTATCCATCCATCCATCTCAGTAGGGTGAAAGACCTGGAAAATTGGCCATGAGCATTTATTAGAATCCCTCACGGGTTGGTCTGGGAATTGAAAGGCTGAGTGAATTTGTGGACTGTGGCTTTCAGAGCAGTTGGCGGCGGTGCCAGAGTTCCATGCGCTGGGGCCCCTCTTCAAGTCCTCACCTGAGCCTGTGGCCCTCACTGAATCGGAGACTGAGTATGTCATCCGCTGCACCAAACACACCTTCACTGACCACATGGTGTTCCAGGTGAGCAGGGAGGGCTGAGGCCCTGCTGGGGTGTGGGGCTAGGGAGTGGTCCCAAGTCTGACAGGTCCTATAGGGTCCCACACTGAGTTGGTCAGGAGCCGAACGTGATGATAGGTTCTGTCACCAGCTGGTATGTGTCTTGCACCCTTGACCCATTACCTCTCTGGCTGCTGTGTGTCAGCATTGGGAACAGGGAGCCTGTGCAAGGATACTGGGATAGGAGTCATGGGGTGAGTTAGGACCTCCGGGCTCTTTCTCTATAGCAGGGCTTGGACCTAGAGCAGTGTCTAAGCAACCCCTCTCCTCCCTGCTCCAGTTTGACTGCACAAACACACTCAACGACCAGACCTTGGAGAACGTCACGGTGCAGATGGAGCCCACTGAAGCCTACGAGGTGCTCTGTTACGTGCCTGCCCGAAGCCTACCCTACAACCAGCCTGGGACCTGCTACACATTGGTGGCACTGCCCAAGGAAGACCCTACAGCTGGTGAGCCCCTCTCCAGAAACCACCCTGGCCTTGGGATCCAGATGGGATGGTCCGGTTGTGCACCAGCCATTTGTCTCCTATGAGAGATTCAATTCCTTGCTTTCAGTCTTAGAAGAAGAAGGAAGGCTGAGTCCTGGGAGCTTGTCATACATCATCCCATTTCACCCTCACAGACGACCTAGGGGGGATGAGTACTGCTCTCCCTATTCCTAGATGAGAAAACTGAGACTCAGGGTAAATGAGTCACCTAAGTTCATGTGGCTGGTAAGAGGCAGAACCCAGGTCTCTCTGGTCCTCAGCCAGAGGCTCTTTCATTTCACCATGAGAGTGCAAAGACTGAAACATCCCAACTCCACTCCTTCCAGGGGACCCACCAGCGTCTTTGACAGTGGACATTTGACTGTGGCACAGGCTTAGCCATCCTGTAGCACCTCTGCTTTTCCTCTTTCTTCCCTGTGAGGGGGCTCCTCAGACCCATGACTTGACTCTTTTGCCCTTCCACAAGGTGGTATCTTCTCTCCAGATTTGTAGGGTTGGATGGCTACCTGTGGGGTTGCTGCTACTGATAATATAACAGAGACCTGGGGAGCAGGCTGTGGCCACCTGCCCTATGGAGGAGCTCGTCCCCTGCAGTGGCTAGGGACATCCTGACCAGCTAGCCTCTCTTCCCTGCAGTGGCCTGCACATTCAGCTGCATGATGAAGTTCACTGTCAAGGACTGTGACCCCACCACTGGGGAGACCGATGATGAAGGCTATGAAGATGAGTATGTGGTAAGAAGCTAGTGTCAGGAGGCTCAATTTTGTTCCTGAGGCTGCAGAGCAACCCTCTCCAGGAGCTAACAACTAGACTTGGAGCTTTTTCTTGCTGTTTTTGGCTCTTTGAAAGAAAGTTGTTTTTTTTTAACTTAAAAAGACTACATGCTTTAAAAAAAGAAAACTTGGGAACTACAAAAACCAAGTGTGAACAAATAGGAAAACATTACTTGTCCTTGGGAGTTATGTGGAGGGGTGGGGAGGAGTTATATAATTGAAGTCATTCTGGACATTATATATCTTGCTGTTTCCACTTAAAACCATAGTGTATTTTCCTGTATGATTACAAATACTTCATAAACAAAGTTTTTAATGACTTTAAAATACTCTGGTATGTAGAGATAACTCATGTGATCTTTATTCCCTCAATGTTGAACATTTGGGCTTCCAAATTTCACTGTAAAAGCTGCATTAAGTATCCCTTTGGGTACAAATTTGTATCTGCATTTCAGATTATTTCCTTAGGATCGATTCCTAGAAGTAGAAAAGTTGGGTCAAAGGATAAGCATGACTTTAAGACTGATTCCTGTTGTTAAATTGCTTTCTAGAGAAGTTGGATCAGTTTGCATCTGTTGAGTGGTCCTTTCATGCACTCAAAGGACTCTGATTACACTCTTCTGAGCTTGGATGGAGCTGAGTGCAGGATCGCGCTGGGGTTTGACCATGGGGCAGTGGCTCAGTGCCATCTGAGGGCCAACTATTATACTCAGCCTGGGGATGCAGATTCTTCAAGCTCCTCATAACTAAAGGGACAGTTACTGTGGAATACAACTGATATTCACCATTGTCACACTGGAGCCATTGTTGAGGGGACCTCCCTAAGCCAGCAGTGACCCTAAGATCAGGAATTGCCCTAGGACCAAGTGAGCTCATTGGGAGAACTGGCCCTGAGGCGTTGCTTCTGCTGTGGGAGCTGAGTCCTACTTAGGCACACCTTAAACATCCCCAAGAGTAGGGGCTCACTGAAGATCTGGTGGGTGAATGAATGGAGAACTTTCATGTGCTCTCTGTCCGGGGCCGGGGGGGTAACGTGTCACGTTCGGGGAGGACACAGCTGAGGTGGAGGCAGGGTCCAGAATATGTCAGGCTCAGAGAACACAGCTGAGGCAGAGGGTGGATCTGTTGAGTCAGGAGTGATAGAGCCATAGGAGGCAGACCTTCTGGATCCTTGAGGCACTTACTCTAGGCAGGCTTCAGAAGGGATGTGATCTTGGCAGCTGACATCTTCAGGTGAGTACTTGGGTCAGGGCATTTCTACTGAAAGGACACCACTTAGCTGTGAGCACTTGAAGGACAGATATCCAGTTTACTGTATGTGCCTAGAGCCGAGCACGGTGCTCAGTGCCTAGCCAGCACCTGCCGAATGCGTTGCAGAAAGGGATGAGCAGTGAGTTCAGAGCAGAGATGTGCGGAGCAGGAACTCATTCCCCTGGAGGTGTGTGCCTAATTTCCACCTCCATCTCCCCAGCTGGAAGATCTGGAAGTCACTGTCGCAGATCACATCCAAAAGGTCATGAAGCTGAACTTCGAAGCAGCCTGGGATGAGGTAGGGGATGAGTTTGAGAAGGAGGAAACATTCACCTTGTCTACCATCAAGACACTTGAAGGTAAAAATCCTTGGCTACTGTTGAAATATGTCCTCCCCTTTCACCCCTGCCGGCCTTTGCCCCCCAGAGATCCAGGGCCCTGTCGAGAGCACATACTTCAGATGCCACTTCATGAAAAGCCCCTTAGAGGAGCTCCTGGCTAGGTCAGTGGAAAAGCATGCAACTCTTGATCTCGGGGTCAAGAGTTTGAGCCCCATGTTAGGTGTAGAGACTACAAAATGAATAAGCCAAAAAAGCCCCTTAGAGCAGGCTTAGGGGATGGGGGCATGGTGGTGACACAAAGGGGAAACAAGATGTGGCTTAATGATGCTGAGATTTCTCCTTACAGAGGCTGTGGGCAATATTGTGAAATTCCTGGGAATGCACCCTTGTGAGAGGTCAGACAAAGTGCCAGATAACAAGAACACCCACACGTTGCTCCTGGCTGGTAAGCAGCATTTCTAGGTGGGAAGGGCCTGTGTAGCTCACAGCCTGTATGCCACTGCATCCTGGGTTGAGGGTTCCCACTGGGAACACGGAGATTCAAAGTCACAGCATTGAAAATTCACAAAGTAAAAAAAAAGACCAGCAGTGAAACATCCTCTGACCCTTGCTGCCTGTCATCTAGTTGCATTCCGATTACAGGCGACTGGCACTGCTATTACAATGACGGTATATGTACACATTTCCCTATTTTAACTCAAATGTTTATGTGTAAATGGTATATACATTGTTCTGCACTTCGCTCTTCACTTGACAGATCTTTCCTATGCCTGGCTGGCTCAGTTGGTAGAGCATGCAACTCTTGATCTCAGGGTTGTGAGTTTGAGCCCCACATGGGGGTGGAGATTACATTAAAAATAAATTGAAGAATATATAGTTTCCTCTTTTTCTTTTTTTAATTGTGGCAAAATGTACATAATGTAAAATTGACCATTTTGAGCTCAGGTATACAGCTCAATGGCATTAAGTACATCTGCATTAATGTGCAGTTATCAATGCTGTCCTTCTCCAGGACTTTTTTTATCATCCCAAAGTGAATCTTCATACTTTTTCTTCCTTGTATTCCATTGTATAGGTATACCATATTTTATAGGATCAGCCTGTATTGATGAACGTTTAGATTGTTCCAGGCTTTTGCTCTTACGAACAGTGCTACAGTGAATAATCACATACATACATATATATACACGTACTTTATTTTGCATGTATGCCCTGAGGATATCTATAGGATAAATTAACCAAGGCATTACCAGGTCAAAGTGCATTTCTCATTTTGATAAAAATATCCAGTTGCCTTCCATAGGAACTGTATACCTTTCTTTCCACACTGTGGACAACATAGTATATTATCAGTATAATACAGTAATCAATAATATACACAGTATATTATCAAATCATTATCAAATGAACTTTGCCAGTCTGGGTGGAAAATGGTATCTTAGCGTAGTTTTTATTTTACATTTCTTGTATATTGAATGAAGTTAAGCATCTTCCCAAATATGTGTGCCGTTTGTATTTCTTTTTCTGTGAATTATTTCCATATCCTTTCTCTTAATTTTCTCCTGCGTTGGTTGGTCTTTTCTAATAGAAATGGGATTTTAAGAAGTCAACATGTAAATTTTCAAACTTACACAAAAATTGAATAGTACAGTGAACCCTCATGTGCTCATCCTCCAGCTTCAACAACTAACAGCATTTATACCGCCACTCACTCTCCTCCCCACCCCAGATTATTTTAAAGAAAATTCCAGAGATAGCATTTTGTATGTAAATACCTCTGTATGTTTCTCTAAGAGATAATAGTGCTTTGTTTAAAGGGGTGGGGGCAGGGGTGCCTGGGTGGCTCAGTCGTTAAACATCGCCTTCGGCTCAGGCCATGATCCCAGGGTCCTGGGATTGAGCCCTGCATCGGGCTCCCTGCTCCGCGGGAGGCCTGCTTCTCCCTCTCTCGCTGTCTCTCTCTCTCTCTGTCAAATAAATAAAATCTTTAAAAAAAGGGGGGGAGGGAGCAATTTTGTTCAACTAAAATTGAACAAAATGAAATGGGAGATTTTTTTTTCCTGAGTGTTTATAAACAGGGTTGGGAAGCAGCTCTGCTTCAGTGCTCTGCTCACAGCTGATAGACCCCAAGCGGATGTTTCTGGCCGCACTGAAGCAGTCCCCTGGGTCTTGCAGACACTTGCAGTGCGGTTTTGTCGTGGAGGGGCTGTCCCTACATCTGTGCTCTGAGATTTAGCCAACATGCATGAGAGCCTCTGTGATGCCAGGTAGAAGCTTTGTATGTTCATTAATTCATTTGCACCTGGCAAAGCTTTAAAAACAAAAACAAAAACGGGGTGCCTGGGTGGCTCAGTTGGTTAAGCGACTGCCTTCGGCTCAGGTCATGGATCCTGGAGTCCCGGGATCGAGTCCCACATCGGGCTCCCTGCTCAGCGGGGAGTCTGCTTCTCCCTCGGACCCTCCCCCCTCTCATGCTCTCTCTCTCTTTCTCTCTCTCAAATAAATAAATAAATCTTTAAAAAAAAAAAACGGTTAGTATAATCATCTCCTCTACTTTGTAGTTGAGGCTACTGTGGCTCAGAGAGGTAAAGTGACTTGCACAAGATCTCACTTAGGGATTTCAGCCCAGCTCCCCTGTTTCCAGACCCATTCCCATTTCACTGCACCACAGCTGCCTTGATCAGTTGCTGCACATGCCACCCTCAACCTACCCTCTGCAGCTTCCTTCTTCCTTACACACGTGTACTTCTGTTTTCCCTCTAGGTGTGTTCCGGGGAGGTCATGACATCTTGGTGCGCTCCCGACTGTTGCTTTTGGACACAGTAACAATGCAGGTGACAGCCAGAAGTTCAGAGGAGCTGCCAGTAGACATCATCTTGGCGTCTGTGGGCTAAGAGGCCAGGCTGCATGAGCCCTGCTCCTACCCTTTTCCCCCCAACACTGCGCAGAAGTCATGCCTTCATCCTGAATCCAGTGGAAACTCCTTCCCAAGCCTCTGTATCAAAAACAATTAGAAATCACTGGGGAAAAAAAAAAATTTTTTTTTTTAATTTAACCCCTGCCCCAGGCTTGCCGGGGGGTAACCTTTTTTTCTTTTTTTAAATAGGGGATGATTTTAGCTTGTCTTAGAACCTGCTGTCCTGCCTGTCAGGGTAGGAACATCGCAAATGAATAAAATGCTCGCACCTCCTCTTGAATTTATCCCCAAGAAAACCATCTTATCCATATAAATAAATCAGCATGTATTTATTGAATGGCTGCTGCTTCTGTAGACTCATGCTTAAGGGCTCCACTTTCCACTTCCCCCTTCTGAGCCCCCACCAAGAACACCTGCTCTATCCGGTTCACACCCACAGCCTTTTGGCTTCTGTACTTGAAGGCAGACCACTCCCATTCCTCTCCAAGTGCCAGAACAGGGGCAGTGCAGGTCATGACTACAGTCACTGAGGTCATGTGCCTGTTCTTGCATCCTCACCATCACCCTCCTTCTCTAGGTGATGAATGGAGCCCTCAGAGGGTTTGGGTGGATTATTTGGGCGTTCCCTAGCGTGTGCACTGGGGTTTGCTTGCTCCCACTTCAGTGAATGCACAGAGGGGAAGAACAGCCCTTAGAGAGCACTCTGTTGGCTGAAGATGCAGAAATCCTTGGTTTATGTCCCAAGGGAGCAGGCTCAGAGGCCACCTCAGCTGCTGTTAAACTCAAGCCAGGTGGCTTTGCTAATTTCATGGCCGAAATAGGCCTACAAAGCCTGTTTTTTTAAAAATCTAGGCCTCACCCTTAGAAATTCAGATTTGGGGGTGCGGAGGTAGGTGAAGGCCCTGGAAAGTCACATTCTGGTGCCCACTGAAGTATGAGAGTGACTTGTGTGATTCATGGACGTTTTCCTGATTGTGTCTCAATTTTTGCCCCAACACTCTGAGGCGGTTAGCCTCAATGGGAAGTAAAGAGAATGTTTCCTGTTATCCCTACAACGACCCGGAGCCCTAGTCCTGGCTCTCGCTATACAGACAAGGGCACCTAACGCTCCCTGGGACACATCGAGGGTCTTTGCCAGCGCCGCGAGGGTAAGCCGGCCCCAGCCCGTTCTTGCGGCTAGCCCTGAGAGCGGACCCCGCAGGGGGAAGGGCAAAGATGGAGGAGAGCGGGACTCCGGATCGTGGCCTACCCTTGGGGTCTTTTCAGAAGATTCAGATTCCGGGGCGCGCGGGACGCGGCGGGAGCCTCCCGCCACTCGGGGGCGGGGCCGACCGCGCTGGGGGCGGGGCCTGGCGCCGGAGGGCGGGCCCGCAGAGTCTGAGCGTCCGCGGAAGGAGAGTGTCGGGGGCTGCAGGGCCGAGGTGGACGTGAAGTGAGGCGGAGTTGGCGGCCGGGCGGAGGGGGACTGGGGCGAGCTGAGAAAACGTGAGGCGAGGCGGGGCGGCCGGGGGGCCGGGCCGAGGTGGACGTGAGGTGAGGGGCGGCTGGGCGGCGGGGCGGCGGCCCTGGGGAGCAGGTCGAGTTCCCGCCCCGAGAGCCGGCCTCCTGGCGGCGCGGGCAGCAGTCCTGGAGGTTAGCGGGCGGGAGCCCCTCCCCCCGCCCGCAGTCGGTGCCCCGAGGGTGGGGAAGGAGGGTAGGAGGAGCGGGGACGGGACGCTGTGGCCGGAAAGGGTCCGGCGGAGGCAGGGCGTGCGGCTCCAGCAATGACCGCAGGCCGCCCCCGTGGCTCTCTCGGCCGCAGGCTGAGCTGAAGAATGGCGCCTCGGGGCGGGCCGCCTCCCCGCAGTGTGTCCGCTCTCGGCTAGGCTGGCACAAGCCGCCGTGCTGGCCCGGCGGCGGGGAAACCGTGAGCTAGCGCGACCGCCCTGCCGTGCTCTCGTCTCCAGGCTGTGCCGGGCCGCGCGGGAGCATGTGCGGGCGCACCTCCTGTCACCTGCCTAAAGATGTCCTGGCCCGAGCGTGCGCCTATCGGGACCGGCAGGGCCGGCAGCGGCTCCCCGAGTGGAGGGACCCCGACAAGTACTGCCCCTCGTACAACAAGAGCCCTCAGTCCAGCAGCCCAGTGCTTCTGTCGCGACTGCACTTTGAGAAGGTAACCGCTGGTGTCTGTGCCGGGCCGGCTTCTGGGCCCGCAGGGAATGCTCATCCACTTGGGTTTGGTTTGGTGCGCGCTCAGCCTCTGCTCACGGGTTCTGACCCCCCGTTGAGAACCACTCCGGACCTCACTGCAAAGAGAAGTTTGATCGGTATCTTCTCATCTCAGATGATGCCGTGGGGTGCCTGGGTGGCTCAGTTGTTGAGCGTTTGCCTTCGGCTCAGGTCATGATCCCTGCGTTCTTGGATCGAGCCCCGCATCGAGCTCCCTGCTCAGCGTGGATCCTGCTTCTCTCCCCCTCCCCCTGCTTGTGTTCCCTCTCTCGCTATCTCTGTCAAATAAATAAAATCTTTGGGGGGGGGGAAAAACACGATGATGCAGTGTTCTTCGGGCTCATTTAAGGGTTCATCGGAATGCATGCCAAATTTATTTGAACCCTCCTATTTGAATACGCTTTTTAAGACCGCATCTTTCAAACCTCACCGATTATCAGGGTCATTTGAGTATCTTAAAAAAAAAAAAAAAAAAGATATCCTGCCCCTTACCAGGCCAGATGAACCAGAATCTCTAGGCCTAGAGCAGGATTAAGACGAGCTAATCTGAAACACCTCTGGTGTTTCTTGAACATGGAAGTTTCTCTTTTTTTCTGCTTCTGTTTATGTTTGTCTTTTACTGAAGCTAGAACAGATGTAGTTGGTTTGGTTGTCTGAAGTTTAATTGCACTCAGTGTTTCCATAGTATTTACCTCTGTAGTGTTGGAGTGACCAGTAGTTCATAATCATGTTCTGGTTCTTTGCTCTATCTCCTGAATGTGTGTGTGGGTGTGTGTGCATGCACCTGAGCACCAGTGCTAGTATGCAGTAAATAAAATGCTTAATTCCAGAAATGAATGGTTTCTCCATGTCTTAAGCATTTTATTTTATTTATCTTAAGATTGTATTTTTTTTTTTTAAGATTTTATTTATTTGACAGAGAGAGACATAGTGAGAGAAGGAACACGAGCAGGGGGAGTGGGAGAGGGAGAAGCAGGCTCCCCACAGAGCAGGGAGCCCAATGCGGGGCTCGATCCCAAGACCCTGGGATCATGACCTGAGCCGAAGGCAGACGCTTAGCGACTGAGCCACCCAGATGCCCCGAGACTGTATTTATTTTAGAGAGACAGCACAAGCGGGAGGGGCAGAGGCAGAGGGAGAGAGAGAGAATCCCAAGCGGACTCCACGCTGAGGGAGGAGCCTGACGGGGCTTGATCCCAGGACCCTGAGATCAGGACCCCAGCTGAAACCAAGAGTCAGATGCTCAACTGACTGTGCCACCAAGGCGCCCCTCTGTATCTTAAGCATTTTAAATGCCCTTGATAGGTTATTAAAAATCATGATTGTTTCCATCCTGGATTTTTATTCTGTTTGATCTGTAATACTTAACTCACTTTATAAAGTCAATTGTACCCCTGCTACTTGTCAGAATTCTTGTGATAATATTGTAGTCAAGGTTCATTTCTATATTATTTGAAATAAGCATACCAAATAACATGATCTTTTTGGTTGAATGAAGCCATATACATGAAATAGTTTATTCTTGAGCTGTTTTTACTGGGTGCATCCTTCCCTGTTGAAACTAAAAAACTTTTTAATGAGAGGGAAATCAAAATAAACAAGTATCATGGGGAAACTTAACTGGAAAAGAATAATAAAACATGTTTCAAAAGAAGGCCTAATTGAAGTGAAGAGAGACGGGTTAAATGTATGTGCCTTTTTTTAGCCTTGGTTCTCTCTATATCACGTCTTTAGAATTATTGAATGAATGTTATCTGGAAGAAAAATTTGTTTAACAGATGTAAAGACAGAAGTGTAGAGATACTGTGACTTGTCTTAGGTTACCCAGTAAGTGAGGGGACAGAGCTGGGACTGAGGTCCAGACCACTTTCCGGAACCACTCCAGTGGATGCTTCCTGGAACTAGGAATGGAGAAGGTGGAGCTCCTAGCAAACATAGCTCCCCCCCTTTCCGTCAGTGGTATGAATTTACTAATGTAGTGTTTTGACTCCACATCGCTAATAAATTTTGTTAAGTTTGCTGGGGTTTCCTAATTTTGATAAATATATGAGGTTCCATTTGTCTCAAACCTGTAAGTTGTAAAACAAAATTAGAATCACTTCAGCTGATCATTAATCCATATCAGTGGCCAGCACATGTGTATAGATTGCAGCATTTGCATTTGAAACCACTATTTGCAAATTACTTCCTCTTTCATTTATCTACCCCAGCTCTACCAGCTGTTCTGGTCACAAGTCCAAAAGGGTAGAAGGAAAAGATGACTAATATTGAGCAATATTTTCAGTATTTTGGCTTCTCAGCCATTTTCTATTTATTGTTCCCAGTAGGGGGCAGCCTCATGTTTGGGTTTGGCTTAGGGTTGTCCAGTGAACACACTAACATTAAAGGTGATGATCAGTGGGATTTGCAAGGTAGGGTTTCTCAACCTTGGCACTTCTGACATTTTGGGTGGGATGCTGTCCTGTGCATTGCAGAATGTTTAGCAGCATTACTGACCTCTACCCACCAGATGCCAGTAGCATACCCCCCTTTCTCCCTGTTAGATCTTGGTGGTGGGGAAGGGTTGTCAAATTGCATGTTGAGAATGTCAAATTTAGAGTATTGAGGTTTTGCAAATTCCTGATCAGAGATCATTTAAAGGGCTGTTATCTCATTTATGCTTTGGATAGGAGGCGCTTCTGCTTGGAAGGCACATTTGATTCTCGAAGAGAGGATTCATAAAAGCTGTTTTTCTTCGTTTTTTTTTTTTTAAAGATTTATTTCAAAAGACAGAGCAAACACACGTGTGCACTAGTGTGGGGAGGGGCAGAGGGAGAGAATCTCAAGCAAACTCCCTGCTGATCACAGAGCCCAAAGCATTTGATCTCACAACTCAGAGTTTTCAACCTGAGCCAAAATCAAGACCAATTGAGCCACCCAGGCGCCCCAAAAGCCCTGTACATTCTTTCTCTTTCTCCTATCTCACATGAGATTAACACTTGGATTTACATTCTCTACCCTACTGAAAACAGAAATAGTTAGGGGGTCCCCAGAAAAAGAAAGATGAGACGTAGCTTTCATGACACAAGAGAAGTCATTTTAGGCCCCCAGGTATTTTCTGTGATCTATGTCCTACTGGCTTTGCTTGCCTAAGCACACTTTTTTTTTTTTAAGATTTTATTTATTGGGGCACCTGGGTGGCTCAGTTGGTTGGGCATCTGCCTTCAGCTGAGGTCATGACCTCTGGGTCCTGGGATCCAGCCCCAAGTCAGGCTCCCTGCTCAGTGGGGAGTCTGCTTCTCCCTCTCCCTCTGCCCCTCCCCCCACACTCCTGCTCCTCACACGCACATTCTCTCTCTCTCTCTCTCTCTCTCTCTCTCTCTCGTAGGTAAATGGAATCTTTAAAAATAAAGACTATCTATTTGAGGGAGAGTGTGCAAGGGGTGGGGGAGAAGAGGGGCAGAGGGAAAGAGAGACTCTCAAGCCGACTCCAGCTGAGCACGGAGTCTGACCTCACAACCCTGAGACCATGAACCCGGCCCCCATCAAGAGGACTTTTAAACTTTTTTTTTTTTAATATTTTATTTATTTATTTGAGAGAGAGAATGAGATAGAGAAAGCATGAGAGGGGGTAGGGTCAGAGGGAGAAGCAGACTCTCTGCTGAGCAGGGAGCCCGATGTGGGACTCGATCCCGGGACTCCAGGATCATGACCTGAGCCGAAGGCAGTTGCTCAACCAACTGAGCCACCCAGGCGCCCCCATCAAGAGGACTTTTAACGGAGTGAACCACCCAGGTGCCCTGCCTAAGCTCACTTCTTGCAAAAGGAGGTGTCAGAATTACCACCAAAAAAAAAAAAAAAACTCAATAGTTAAGTATTTTAAGGGAACAAAGGGAATGCAAAACTAACAGTGTCTACCAGGCTGGGACATAGCCTAACCTTATCAGAGACAATAAATCAGTGGTAAAACTCCCAGTGCTGTTTCAGAAGTAAACAACGTCCTGCTTTCCTTACCTGAGATAATGATCCCAAGCCCCATCCAGTTTATTCCCGCTTCAGAGCCTCCCCATAGCCCCTTTACCCTTATCCTACAGTTACCTCTGCTTCATTATAATGTTAAAGCCTCTGCCCTAGTTGGAACAGACTTCATTAACATAACATAAGATGCATTATAGGCAAGTTTTCCCAAAGTACGTCTGCGCAACCTTATGCCCACTTTTACAGGTGATGATAAAGCTCCCCTTTCTGAATATTCATCCTAATCCTAAATAAGAGAAACGCACTCACCACATCCCCATCTCCACTTACCCCCATCTTATTTGCTGCAAATAAATTTTACTTTGTGTGACAACTCCACCTGGTATAGTCTCTCTCTGTAACTCACCAAGGAGCAAATTCATGTTCAGTTCAGTTATGCTACCATTTCTTCCAGGGTAGTCTTTTCCTTACTTACACTGCATGCTCATTAATTGCTTTTGTTTTTCCTGCCTCTTGGCATACAATATACCCAGGCTTCCTCTGTCTTTAAGGGGAAGAATACACACACATGTATACATCTATATACATACAGATATATACACACACACACAGTTGATCCTCATTATTTGTAGATTTCGAGCTTGCAAATTTGCCTACTTTCTAAAATTATTTGTATTCCCCAAAATAATATTCATGTTGCTTTTGAAGTCATTCATGGACGTATAGAGTAGAGGAAACTGAGTCACCCAATGTACACATTCCCAGCAAAGCCCTACCTTCTTGTTTTAGCTCTTACCTTGTAAACAAGTACCCTCCTTGGAGTTGATTTAGTGCTGTGTTTTTTGCATTCCTGTGCTTTTTGTTGGTGACTTCACTGTTTAAAATTGTCCCCAAGCATAATGCCAAAGTGCTGGTTTGTATTCTTAAGGGCAAGAAGGTTGTAATATGCCTTACAGGGAAAAACATATTAGATAAACATCATTCAGG